CTTGAAATTGACCATCCTGCCAAGTGGCCACCGTACAAAAACGCGAAATCCAGAAAGTGAAGGCAGTCGATCCCGAGCACGAGAGTAACCACTAAAATCAACATATCTGCTACACCAACAATCCATCTCCCGTTGTCGCCAACACCAAGCCGAGATGAAACATGGTCAATCACAAAAAATTCCCAGCCAATGATCTCCTTCCCAGCCAAGATAAATCTGCTCCCGCTTCTCATCCAAATCCGGACAACTACACAGCAAAACATGACCGATCGTGAAGCGCAACAATCTCGTCAACGAACATCGTGCCATTAGCCAACCAAGCAGCAGACCCGCCGACCAGACGATCCGCAAAACCAGCCAATCAGTAACGAGTGAGTCTGCTGAACGGCAACAAGGGATTGCCATCAGGGTAGGAGTATCGTGACATCTTCAATGTCGCGCTTAAAAGCATTGGTTGGAGCAAGAAAAGTGAGAAAAAGCAAACAAAAGAATAATACGGAGTCAAAAATACAGAAAGACTTCCACGCCAAAAAAACCGACAACCATAGATCCCATGCACTCAAGTGAACCACACATGCAAGCGGTACCCAAGCATCAGTCAGGCTCTGTATCAAGGCCACGGGGTATGAGTCCATATGACCCCTGGCAGGTTACAAGTTCTGATCTTTGAAAGACACCCCAACCTTGCCCGCTGGCCATCACCACAAGGAACCCCATCTTTGCAATATACCCCTCCAAGGGCAACCAGGATTCCCAAACTGTTCACACATGGAACATGTAGATCAATAAAATAAATAAAAATAATCAATCATTAAGTAAAGGGATAATTTGCAGAATACCCCCATAAGTTGAGATATATGCCGAAATGCCCCTGAAAGATGTGAGTAGAGCGGAATGCCCTTTTGGGACGAAATCTCTGTGTTGCGCCCCTGTCAGGCGGGTGTGCAACTTCGCAATCTGGACCTCCCCGTTTGGGCCTTGGCCTTTTGCAATAGCGACTAGGAAAAGTTGGCAAGTACTGGGGCAGTTTGCAAAGTTGGGCGGTGCCCGGTTGGGGTATATTGCAAAGATGGGGCTCCGACCGACGCTAGGGGTATTTTACAAAATATATCTTTTGTCAGAGGGGTATTCTGCTCTACCCACATCTTTTAGGAGCATTTTTGGCATATATCTCAACTTATGGGGGTATTTTGCAAATATCCGTGAAGTAAAACATCAAATATAAAACAATAAATAACATACGTGCGGCACTGCGCACGTGCGCCGCACCGCGCATCCCGCACGACGCGCGCGCTCTGCATGCGGCACACCTCCAAAAATGGGGGTCAAAAAAAAAAAAAAAGTTGTGGGGGGTACTAGACCCGGCCCCCTGCTCGCGTAAAATAAGAAATGGGCGGCCCCCTGCTCGCGTAAAATAAGAAATGGGCAGCCAATTTTTTTTTGGAGGCCGCGTGTTGGCCTGAAAGCTTTTAGTAACCTGTAGTTCGGGTGACACTGTGTGTATGGTAGGGTTCTTGCAGTCTGTATGGTAGGGTTCTTGCAGTCGGTATGGTAGGGTTCTTGCAGGCCAGATTCAGTCATGATGAGGGTCACGATCTAGTATTACTTCTGAAGTAGAAAACGACGGAACTGACAGCCGTTTTTCCTGGAATTTTTTTTTTTTAAATAAAAAGGAAAAAACGTAAAGGAAGAACATCAGAATTTCTTTGCACGAGTGAAGCCCGGCGCGTCCAACCTGTCAGAACCTCAATGGTAATGTTCACCAACGGGCTCGCTGCACTACTCTCGACATGCACAACAAGACATATATGGCAATGTATCTTTCCATGTTCAAGCGGAGGATTCAGTCTCATTTGTTCAGAGATTCTCCAAAAAAAAAAAAAAGAAAGGTTCCAGAGATACGTTACGTGCTTACCTGATTCATCGGCCCTTCGCTCTCCGCCACCCAACGTATGAATGAATCTTCCGCCAGAACATGGAAAGATACACCGCCATATTGTTTGTCCTTTGTGCATGTCGCCCCGCTGCCGGATTCATGTTGCCCGTTGATAAGGGCGGTTTCTTCGGTCCGATAGTGTCAGCACACGG